CCTCTTCCTTGTCAAAATCCCAGTGAATGTGGTTATGTGATGCCATCAGAATGACTCATTGCCATAATTACATATGTTCTAAGGGGTTATTCCCATTGTATTATTAAAAACTAGTGATGGTTGATTTTTGGCAGGGACTGTCTTCCTTGTATGATCTACAGATTTTGTCAATTAAATGAAGGAAAAATAGATTTCCAAGACTTCAGAACAAGACTGGACTTGCACTCAGAGCACTTTCTCGGTGTGGTATTGAGCTACTTTGTTTTATTTAACAGGATAAAGGCAACATCAGCCATCTTACTCTCCTTGTTGCAGTGATTGCCTGCAGAGCACAAGGACAGAAGTGGGTTTCGTAGCTAGCCTTCAAAATCACCCCGAACACAGCCAGAAGATATTTATTACTGTGGTTTATTGCCACGGTACTTTTCCCAACTCGGTTCCTCAGGAATAGGTTTTCAGGGCTATAGTTTACAAGAGCGGGAGGCAGGGCTCCTTGGCAAAAGGCTCCAGGTTTGACAGCTCCTTAACAGAAAAAACAAAAGCGGTCCAGATAGCGTTGCCTTGGATCTGGAGTTCCCAAAATGGTGACTGAAAGCAATAGAAGGAAGCTGGAGGGACGAGAAAATTGAAGTCCAGCAAAAAGGTGAAAAGGGACTTTGAGGGCATGGGCTGTGCTGTGGCCAGCGGGATCGAGCCCTCGGAGCGACCGTCATGCTCAGTCCTGCGCAGTTCTCGCGGGCTTGCGGAGCCTTCTGCTTTACTCTTTGAACGTACGCCACTGCGGCAGGTCCCGCTTACAGGAATTTGGTGTTTACTAGCAATCTGGAAGCTAGAGCATTTACATATAAATGTTTTACTTTTGTGAATTGATAGTCATTAAATAGTGACTTCTTTCCCAGAAAGCTGCACATGCTGCATCATGCGTGTTACCCTTGCGTGTTGCAGGATTTGCCGTGGCCTTTTGGAGGCCGTTTTAGTGGCGAATGGCAGTTGAGGTTCTAACCAGGTGTTTTAGCTTGTGCTGTAAATAACAATATATTATCTACCCGGTTCCCTCTTTTTCTTCGGCTAAGATCCTGCTGCTCTTCAAAAATCATGGAGATTCTGGCCATGTAGACTGTGGTTTGGCATTCAGTTGGGTGTAATACATTACCATGTATATAAATGCCATAAGGGTGATTTATTTATGGTAACTGTTATATATTGCTGGTATTTCTGTAATTTTAATAGAGTTTTTTTAAAGATGTGGTGCCGAATGTCTCTATGAAGACTATTGACTTAATAAAATCTGTAAATATCTATAAAATATACATTTTAATGTTCTCAGACAATGTAATCCAAGTAATAATATTAGGGATAACCTGTTTCACTATCCTACTCTATTTCCTTTCATCAAAGCTAAGATTTCTTCTGAGCGAGAAATCATTTTAATGTAAACATGAACTAAAAAGTGTATACATTGCCTCCATCTCCCTGGGGGTAGAAAGCCAGTAAATTATTGTTTGAGGAGTATGTGTGCACACATTTAACTTGACTGTAGCTGATGAAAAATACAGATTTATATTACACAGAGAGGATAAGAATATAATACAAGCAACCTGTGTTTGGTGAAATTTGTCTGCTTTACCTCCTAAATCTTGGCAAATAAGATAGAAATTAAACAGTTCCTAACCCACGACTGTAAGCTGTTAATATATTACTCCTTGGCCTTTGTTCCCCCTTACGCGGGATGAATTACCCAAAATCTAAGTAAACCACCTAGAAACTGCAGGTTTTGATAGAAGTCTGTCCAGCGAATAAACACCAGTTTGTTCAACAGTAAAAATGAAGACGTTTTCTATGCATCAGAGTTTCTGACAAAGAATCTGTCGGTCTGTCTATACATCCAGCAGCTGCTTCTCCAGTTGCGCGACTAGGTGGTCAAAGTACAGCACACGACTACACGCAGGACCGGAGCAGCAGCGGTTCCACACCACCATCCGTATAGGCGCGTTTGGTTTCCAGAGGGCAGCAGGTAGACAAAGTTCTGTAGGAGAGGCGCTCTCTTTCTAGGCATTTTCGGTCAGTTGGGATTTGACTCTGGTTTTGGTGAATAAAGCAAACAAAGCTTGTTCAGCAAACCCATGTATTTATTTATTTGTTTAAAGAAGCATATTTTACAGTGATGCCATGGAGAGAACACCACAACAGATCTCATTTGGTGGGCCGAAAGAGAGCGTTCATGTGCATGTGAGTTGAGATGACACCACCCTATCTAAGGAAATCTCCGGCTCGGACTGTTGAGCTCAGTGTGCAAATCACATTGGTCAAAGGCAAAATGTTTCTAAATTCACAAATGAACCAGCTCTCTGGGAGTGGGAATAAGCACTATTCTTGAGCTGATTAAAAAAAGAAAAGAAATTTGATTTGTTTTTTATATTTTCCTCCTAATTTTTCTAAAACAATTTAATCTTAAAATCACTCATACTGAAAAATCTTGGATTTTCTTAATATGCAGTTTAAACTTTCCTTTGCCTTTCTCCCTTTTTCTTCCCATTTTGCCATGAAAAAGGAAGAAAGGAGGGAAAAGGCTATGACAGAAAGAAGCTTGTCAGTTTTTCTAAAAAACTCTAGGAAGTTCTATAAAATAGGTTGTGTTGATTTATTATATGCAGTTTAGTTTTGAAATAGTTGTGCTAATATTGCCATGAGTTACTGTAGGGAATCCAGTCAGTGAAGAGAGCCTCCGCGTATAAAACCTTACTAATGCGCTCTCGCTTCTCTCTAATCCTTGTTGAGAACTGGATTGAGATACTGCAGCAGGAGGGAGGAAGGAGTCGTTTATGAATTCGCAAGCTGAGGTTCACGAAAGGGTTACTGATTATTGCTGCTAAAAAGCGGAAGGGGAAAATGGTTCTGCTTACATGCAACGCCATGGCACAAACAAAATACTTATCTCACAGGCTAGAAAATAAAGTGAGATCTGATCTTTCAGCTGGGAGGCTTTCAGGAATCGTCTGAACATGATCCATAAACAACTCAAAAGATGACTTTTAAGAACCTCTTTCTCTCTCTGCTTGGTATGCTGGTCGTTTATCATTGTGCTGAAATGGAATCCCCTTTAAAAGATATAACGGCTTCTTGTTTACTTAAACACAAAGTGGATGATGGGCTGAAAGGTTTTGCTGCCAGCAGAGCAGTCACGGAGAGCTTGGTACAGCTCCGGAGCTGAAACAACTGTGCAGCTCCCACGTCCTGCGCTGAGCCAAACCAGCCGCGAAGTGGACGGGGCGAAGGGAGAGTTTAGGTGTCCCCTGCTGGTGCCGAGTCCTCAGTGGGTGCCACGAACTGCCGGCTCTTCCCAGGAGAGGACCAGGACTGCGGGGTGCAGGCAGGCGACCCATCGGAGCGAGCGGGGGCTCTCCCGCAGGCGCCCCCGCGCGCTCGCTGGCTCGCTCTGACCTCCAAAATCGCAGGTGGCATGAAAGTAAGCGCAGCAGAGGCTGTATTCACCAGGTTTAGCTTTGGGGTGAGCTTTTCCCTGCCCATCACCTTACGGGGGGAGCTAGGAGCATCAGCAGCATGTCACTAATCTGCCCCGGGCACATCTCTGGGAGCCATGGCACCTCCCCTGGCTCCATCCCTCAGGACCAGAGGGCTTCGGCTGAACTCTAGAGGAATTAAATGTCTGCACATATTTATATTGAGGAAGCACATTTTAAAATATAAGGGAAACTGAGCAGTATGCCACCTCGTGACACTGCTGAGGGTAAAGCTCTCCGTGCCGGCAAGGCAGCGTTCCCGTGTGCCCCGCGCGCGTCTCTCGAGGTCTGTCCCACACACTCCTCGTCCCGGTTCCTCTGCCCAGGTGTCGGCTCTTGCAGAGCAGGACCGCTTATGCTGAATCCAGGGAATTCCAGTCGGTGGCATGCAGACCAGTAGTTTCTACCAAACGTAACAGTTTGCTTCTCTTCTGCAGAGCCCGAACTCTGCCTTCCCCCTCCCGCCTGCCTTCCCTCCTGCTATGCGCCTGGGTGGTGTTCGGGTGGACGGACGAGCATGTCCCTAGCACGGGATGGAGTCCCGCAGCTGTGACTGTACAAGCGGATTCACAATGTTTCGGCAACCTGCGGTTTGTCGTAACCTCTCATTTTCTCAATCTGCTGCGTGTTAAGTGGATCCTTCAGTGGGAAATTCCTCGGGGGCTCCGCGGAGCACAGCTGGGGTCCTGCGAGCGCAGGACGGCTGATTTGTGGCTGCAGTGCAGCTGGCAACATTTTCTGGGATTTTCTTAAAGCTTTGGTGAGTTTCCCTTCCACAAGTGAGTCTCTGTCCTGTGGGACACCAGCCTCCATAGGGGCCAAGGCATGAACCACACACTCAGGAAGCTGGTTGTCATTTTGTTTTTTGTTTTTTTAATTTGAAATAACTCTTTGAAGCAGATTCAGGGCAGATACCACTGACCTCTTACCACAAACGTTTAACATGTATTCGCAATGATAAAGTCATACAGCTTAAAACACAAAATAAAGGGGGGAGGGGGGGGGAAGAGAAAGAGGCCACCGCCTTTGCATGAGTCCAGGTCCCAGGTTGGGGAGAGTGTCCATGCGGGTCCAGGCTCGTCCCGCGGGCTGCAGCCGTGCTGCGCTGGGGCACGTGCCCGGTCTCGAGGTTGAGGTCTCTGGTCATGAAGTCTCACGTCTGGGTCCTTCTCTGACTCGTACTCCACCTCTCCTCCCCACAGCATCCCCTGCGGAGCCCTGGGGAGGTGGGCTTCCCTCCATGTGCGCTCCCACTCCTCTTCTCGGCAGCGTCCTTCTGCGTCCTGGCTGGTGTGTGTGTGTGTGCAGTCTCCTTAAGTATTGTGTGTGTGGTTTCTGTCGGGCCTGTGGGTCAGTCTGGCAGTATATGTCTGTCTTTCCGGACACGCGTACGTGTTGTGTAGCAGTGCTCTGGTTCAATAAAGCTTTCATATACATAGCAGCAATGAACTCTTGCCATCAGGTGACGTAAAGGGGCAGCTACTGGGCAGGGCTAGCAGACGTCACGGGGACCGTGGCCCCTCTCTGTTTGCTCTTCCTCTTCTTGGTGCCAGACTTAGCATCTTTGGTGTCTTTCCGATTTCTGTTCCCATTAGCATTATCTTGCTTTCCTTGCTCTTCCTTTTTCTTCCTTTTCCCTGCAGAAAAGCAAAGGGGCACCATGAGGTACACTAGCAGAGCGAGCTGGCCCGCGGCCCGCTGCTGCCAGGGGTGGCCCGAATGGCCCGTGCCCCTGCCCACGCACAGAGGTGCCCGAGAGCCACCCTGTCTGCCAGGCTGTGCTTTGTATTGCGAGCTGTTGCCTAAATATAAACAGGGAAGGAGGATCAAATCTGGATTTAGCTTTGTAATCATCAGTCTCCAGCAGAAGTGTTAACACTTGCATTTCTCCGTGGCTGCATACCAAGCCCCTTAAGCTAACCACGCTGCTGTGTGCATCAGTGCAACAGATCGCCCGTGTCTGCCTCCCCCTGCCCGGCTGTGTAATCCCCGTGGTGTTAGTCACTGCTCAGAACCAGTTTCTCTCAAAACACTCAACCCAGCTGCAATCCTCATCCATCCCATAAGAGGATGACCAAACCACCATTCATCCTGAAGACACTCTAATTCCTGGGAAAAACACAGACCTAAGCATTCTGGTAGAGGAGAAGATGACTCCCATCAGCGCAGCGCACAGGCGTGCGCCTTCAGCTGCCCAGGTCCTTGCTGCTCTCTGGCCAGGGAAGAAGCTAAAATATCTGAAAGCTTGTGGGACACACGGCAAGCCGTGCTGAGCATCACCCACCCGGGGTCTGTGCCGGTTCCACCCAGGGGTCCTTCTATCTGCCATCACGTTTTGTTCCCTGTACCACAGAGGGGTAGTGAGATGCGCAGCGCATTTGTGATACTGGGCAACTGGCTGAATACTTCTGCCTGACAAATAGAGGGCGGTGGGGAGGGATGGTGAGATATTCCATGTCTGCTCACCTTCAGGGCACTGGTTCTTCTGCACAGTGCATCGCCGCACCTCCGTGGTGGCAGGACACAGGGATACGTCTCCAGAGGGAGCATGCAGAATCCGCCGCGTTCGGTCTTCATTGCCCTTCTTGAAGCCACAGAGCTTCCTCTTCTTGGAGCAGGGCCCCCAGGGCCCCCACTCACTCATTTCACATTGTGCTGCCACATAACAAGAGAGGCTCACAATAACTCTCATTTCTCCGTTGCTGCCTCAGGACTTCCCAGAGCCCTTGCACACCATCACATGTCTCCCCCACTTTAGGCTTGAGGGGTATGTTTGTTTCCCCAGCAGCTTCCTAAGTTTTACAGGCACCCCCTTCCTTGCCATACTGCACGAACTCTGAGTCACGCTTCACAAACACACAGCAGCAGCGCTGGGGTGCTGCTCCCCGTCTAGGCTGGTTTCCAGAGGGCTCTGCCCTCTGAAGGTCTGGGTCTGGCCTGTACCGTCACCCACTCAAGACGGGTGAGATGAGCCATCGTCTCTGAGGGGTTCGTTTTATCATCTAAACCAATCTGTAGCAATACCTGTGACGGGACCTGACAGATGCACAAAAAGCTCAGCGAAAGGTGCCTGAGCATCGCTTACCAGGACTGCTGCACTCCATGGTGCCGTTGGCAGCAGAGTAGCCTTCAGGGCATGTGACGTAACATCTCCCTTTGTGCAAATACAAACCTTCCTTACATTTTGTGCAAAAGTTTCGACTGAAACAGGACTCACAGTTCTCAATTTTGCATTCTGGGGAAAAAAAACCACAAAGTCGTCATGTAGTCTGATGTGAGCGAAAGACTGAGGAGTCATAGAATCACAGAATGGTTTGGGTTGGAAGGGACCTTGAAGATCATCACATTCCACCCCCTGCCCTGGGCAGGGACACTCCCCCCCAGCCCAGGTTGCTCCAAGCCCCATCCAACCTGGCCTTGAACACCTCCAGGGATGGGGCAGCCACAGCTTCTCGGGGCAACCTGCCCCAGGGGCTCACCACCCTCAGAGTAAAGAATTTCTTCCCAATATCTCATCCAAATCTCCCCTCTTTCAGTGTCAAACCGTTCCCCCTTGTCCCATGGCTCCCCTCCCTGATGCAGAGTCCCTCCCCAGCTCTCCTGGAGCCCCTTTAGGCACTGGAAGGGGCTCTGAGCTCTCCCCTTTTTCGCCTTCTCTTCTCCAGGCTGAACCCCCCCACCTCTCCCAGCCTGTCCTCCCAGCAGAGGGGCTCCAGCCCTCCCAGCATCTCCGGGGCCTCCTCTGGCCCCGCTCCAACAGCTCCGTGTCCTTCTGCTGGTGGGACCCCCCGAGCTGGAGGCAGCACTGCAGGGGGGTCTCCCCAGAGTGGAGCAGAGGGGGAGAAGGAAGCTCTTGACTGCTAACTAGAGTTCACTCCTGGCTCCAAGGGGTCTGCCAATGGCCAGGGCAACTCTCTGAACGTCCAGGCCCAGTTGTGCTACTCAGAAGTCAGTTTTGCACTGTTCCCTGGTATAGAACAGAGCCACTGTGCTGCAGCTCTCATAGCCAGCAGCAGCTGCTGCCAGATTGAAATCAGGCAGCATAGAAAAGGTTTGGGCTGGTGTTCAGCTTAAGCATCAGTCACCCGAAGTGAGACAGTGCAAAGAATAAAGTCCCACATCAATCGCTCCAGCTGCAGCTACAGTACAGGCTGCAAAGAAACAGAGTTAGATGAAATCTGGCCATGAGGGTGATTTGCATGAAACTGCCAGGGAAGCGATCACATTTTTCCATGTCCAGCTTCTTTCTGGTGCTGTGGCTGAAAAGAGGCTGTCCCAGGCCAAGGATCCCGTTCAGAGAGCTGCTTGGCCATGGTGAATAGGCAGAGGAGAGAACAAAAGGTACTTGTGTGAGCAGTACCCTAAAAACTGAAAGGATCTCCCTCCTCCTTCCTCCAAAGAAAGAGGGTGCCGGTCTGGCAGCCCAGGTAACAGAGCTTCCCAAATATCCTGCAAGATGCCACATCCACAGCATACCGGGGTGGTGCTGAGCATGCTGCAATGGGGTAACCCAGTTCTGAAGGCTTTGCTGGTGGCCCTCTGCTCTAATGGATGACTGATCCATTATCACCACCTGCCCGCAGCATGGAGAGGCCCACAGAGGCTCTCAAAGACCAGGAAAGCCAAAACTCAAGTCAAAACTTGCATGGAAGGGCTGATGTAGGGGCAGTGGTTGCTTACCCGACTTTTGAGGGCACTGTTCGGGCAGTATCTAGTGGCTGCTCAAAGGGAAGGAGCATCTCAACCTGGCTGCAGGCTGTACCAGCTGCGCAGTGCCACGGCAGGGAAGCTCCTGGGCATCCAAGGCGCATAAGCCAACATTGGTATAAATTACGGGGTTATTCCCTGCGCAGATCACTGCCCTGCTCAGCACTCACTGCCTTGTCTGCTTCAATACAGCCACAGCATCTCCCCTCCCCTGGTCAGAGGCGGCACGATCCCCTGCAAAGCACCGCCACCCTCCCGCATTTCACCCTTCCCTCCCACCCCCATACTCACTGATGCACTTGTTCATGTCTGTATTGCGAAGGCCAAAGTATCCCAGTGGACAAGATGGTAGGCAAATCCCAATTTGCCGGATATCATTCCTCTCCAGAAGGATAAAGAGTTTGGGGGAACATCTCAGGCACCCATTGAACTCGGAGCACAGGTCGCAGCCTCTGGCACAGCCCTGACTCAGCTCGGTGCTAACTGGAAGAGCAAGAGAGAGGCAGCGGTTAGTGCCCGCCTGTGTGGCCGGGCTCTGTACGCACCGGCTTTGGCCCCAAAGCACCGTCACCACCGGCAGGAAGGGCAGGGACCGGGGCAGCCCGGGGGCTGGGGTCCTGCTGCACCAACGCGCTTGCTGTGGCTGCCAGCACCGCTCCGGCCGGGCTTCCCAGCCCCGTGCATGATGCCCACCGGTGCCAGCGCCACGGTGAGCACTGGCACGAGAGCCACAACAGCAGCAGTGGTGAGGAGCAGGACCCAGAAGCAGCCACCAACTCTAGAGAGTCCCAGCGCTGTCTCCCCAGCAGCCCCCTGCCTCCCAGCCCTGACCACCAGCCCTGCTGCCCGCGCTGGGCAGACACCCGTGAGGGACACACGCCCGGGTGGGCCACTGACTCCCCGCCACATCCCCTCTTGGAGCTGGCGGTGCCACCCCGCGAGCTACGGGCACGCTGCAGGAGGAGCGGGGACCAGAGCCGCGCAGGGCTGGAGTGAAACCATCTGACTAATTCTGTGCTGCGCTTCAGGCCAGGCTGCATCCCAAGCTAGATCTCGCTCCGACCCCACTTATGTTAACTATATCTGGCAGTGCAGGAGATTTCACTGCCCCCAAAATAGAGATGTGTTCTCAGCTCCTAAGTTCAGTCCAAGAAAAATACTCAATCCCATGTCTTGAGAGTTTTCTGCTTTTAATTATCATATAAAATGCTGCTTGTTTTGAAACCAATAGCATTCTTTGCAGGCTAGAATGCAGGTTATTTTTATTAGTTTATTATGCAAGCAGTGTCCTTGTTTATAAAAAAGCTGCATATTTAAAAAATGTATTCTTTTAAATACTCTGTTTACTACACTTCAAAAGCAAGTGTGGAGCACCACAGTGTTCACATGCCAGACTGAGAGGTAAGAAAACTTTCCTCTCCCCCCAGAGTGACCCGAGACCACAGCAGCTCCCCCGCTGCCTGTCCCAGCCCCATCGCTGGGTCTGAGGGTGCGGAGGCTGCTGCAGCCTTGGAAAATGAAACATAAAGCAGAGAGGGGTCCCCAGCCCAGCGGACCCTCAGTGCCCCGCTGCCAGGAGGGTTTGCTGTGTCTGGACCGGGACCTTCCCTCGGCATTTTGGGCCCTGGCCCCCGTACGCAGGGACCCCCAGGGGATCCGGCCCCATCCCTCCTGCAGTGCCAGGCGGCCGTGCCAAGGTCTGCCTCTACGGCAAAAGTAAAAACCGGGCCCTCGCTGGACACTGCACTTTATAGCATTAGCCATGACATCAAGTTTTCCTTGTTCTCACAGGGCTCAGCAGTCCCAGTTTTAATATAAAATCATTTCTACAGAATTTAATTTAAAACAGTTTTAATGTAAAACAGTTCTAAAACTAGCTTACATAAATGAGGGCAAACCCGTGTGGCTGCTCTTGTGCCGATTCAGCCTGGTTGCCCTGCGTGAGCCCCGGGCTGCGACTGGCCAAGGATTGTCTGCACTGGAGGGATAATTCAAATCTGCACTCCCCGTGCACCTTGGGTCCCACTGCAGCCAAGGCGCCCCACATCCTGACGCCCCCTCAGCAGCGGAGCGGGCACCCGTGCATGGCTGCTGCCCGGGGCAAAGCCTGCCGGGGGTCGGGGCAGGACGGGTGGCCGCGGGGGAAAGGAGGGTGCAGAAGGGGAGCCTGCCAGCGGAGCAGCGCTGGGCAGGCGGATGGGGAGTGATGCACGCCTCCTGCTCACACTCTCCCTTCCCTCTACCGCTCCCTTCTCCCAGGAAGGTGGGGGACGATGGTGGGGGACCCAGAGGTTGCCAGCCTCGGTGGGACGCGCCGCTGCCTGCCGGCTCAATGCCTGCAGGGGACCAAGGCGGGCAGGGGGGCTGCAGCGCTGCAGGAAGCGGGGAGGCCGATCCCGTCCTGCTCCGCAGAGCTAACTCCTCTGGCCACGAGTGCCGCCGTCGGCCTGTGGAGCTGCTCCTCCCTGTCCCTGCCCTGCGCTGCCTGCAGGAACCGGGGCAATTGCCTATGGCTCAAGGCTGTGGCAGGTCCAGCGGGACAGGGTAGTGCACATCTCTGCACAGGAGTGGGAATTGGGGAGCTCCGAGGGCTCATAGGGCACCTCAAGGCTCTGCCCAGCTCTTTGCGTTGGCAAACACATTCACCATCTGCACGAACGGTACAGCATCAAGAGAAGAAGTAGAGAAGAAAAGGGTTTCATACATACTTCGTCTTTGCCTCTTGCCCTTCACCACTTTGCTGCTGCCTGTTAGATCCATCGAGCTTAGAAAAACCACCACCACAAACAGTCCAAGCTGCATAGTAACTCTCCAGCGCTGCAGCCCCTCCGTCGCAGAGTGGTCGGAGGAACCCGCTCCACAGCTGGGGATCTCTCTGCTGCTGCTAAAACGTCTCAGGCAGGATCAGAGCTGAGAGTCTGTGCACGAAGCCTGGTACGGGACCATATCCACAAACTACATCAGCAACGGCGAGCTTAGGTAGCAGGTAACATGGCTCTACCTTCATCCCCGTAAGGAGCGCAGGAGCTTGGCTCTAGTCCCATTGGGGGGCTCTGGCAGCGAGCGTTAGCTGCTTGCAGTTTCCAAGTGCACTCGCAGGAACTGCAAAGGAAGAGGAGAACAGATTAAGTTGCCGGCCGACATCGTTCCTGTAACGGCTGGGCTCGGCGCTGCGCACAGAAGCCATGGAGTGAACTGGGGGAGAGGCACACAGGGGGTGCAGGCAGACAGCGAGTCGCCCTCCAGCCTCATCCACCAGCCACTCTGTTGCTGAATAACAGTTAGCACACGTAGAAGCGCCTAACGCAGCTATGCCATCTGCTGATGCTGCATACAGTTATAGCTGTAACTTGTTTAAAATAGTGCCAGTCCCCCTCGGCCGCCCCTCCTTGAGCAGCAGATGGCCTCTGCGAACTGCCAAGCGCACAAGATGTTTCCCATCAAGTGGGCACCTCTGGGGCTGGTAGTCGAGCCGAGCTGAAAGCGAGCCTGCACTCCCAAGCCGGAGACGGGGCTGTCTGGGGACGGGGCGGGATCGTCCCGTGAGCTGCCCAAAATGCCGCGTCTCTGCTCAGAGGGAATTTCCAAACCTCCCAGCTCCCGTTCCCCCAGAGCAGCAGGGAAGGGTCGGTGCTGCCTGCGCTGTGCTGAGCCGGGCTGAGCGCAGGAGCTGCTCTGTCCGGGGCCCACTGGCTCTCTCATGGCCCTGCCAGTGCAGAAAGCCCGGTGTTGGGCAGCGAGCGTGGCAGTAAGTGCTGCGCTGCCCTTGCCAAGCGGCAGCAGTGAGCTGCCCAGCGTGCATGGCAGGACAGGACCGTGAAACGGCAATGCCAGGAGGACAGGCTGGGCAACAAACCAATTGCTCTGCATGAACTTCTTGGAGGGCAAATAAAGTCCAGTGCAGTAGGAAATTGCCAGGTGGCAGCCCAGCACGCAGGGCTCCAGCGCAGCCAGCCCCGGAGCCGCCGTGTGCCCCGTCCTCGCCCTGGAGTGGCCGAGACCGTGGTCCTGCTGGCCATGCTGCCCGGCTCCAGGGGAGAGGCGGCGCAGGCAGGGCTGCTGTGCAGCAGCGTGCTGCTCCCCCAGGAAAAGACCCAGGAGGTGGTTTTCCGTGTGCCCCATGGCTGGGGCGCAGGACGGGCGACCTCCAGGCTGCACCGAGAGCCCTGGCACTGCCAGGCAGGGCCATGCTCTTCCCTCTGCAGCTGGCAGAGCAAAGCCCAGCCAACGGCTGCCATTGTGTGGGAATAAAGGCGACAACATTCACTCTGTGAGGTCAAATGAAACAGAAAATGGTTTTAATCCCTTTATAATAACTGCACAATCACCGATGCCCCAAATGGCCAGTGGCAATGGTGCTGGAATGAAGCCCGGCCGCAGCCCGTGTGCTGCCTGCAGCACAGACACGGGCCCCGGGCTGCTGCCCCCCCCATGCCCACCGTGGGGTGAGGGACCTGCTGAGGGGCTGCTGGCCACAGCAGGGCCCCAGCCCAGCTGTAAGGCGGTTACGGCTATGGCAGCAAAATACCTGAACGGAAAGGGCTGCCCACAGCAGTGATAGCGAGATGGCAGCATCTTGCGTCAGCTGCCGCAGGGAGATGTGACCTGGGAGCTGCCGGGCCTTGTAGCAGCACATGGCTCGACGCTGAGAGGTGTCCCGGAGCGGGCACCTCACGGCAGCTTTGGCCCACGTGTGCCAGCGAGGCCGGGAGGCCATCGGGCGCTGCAGAGTGCCGCCATTGTCCTCCTGCCCCGACAGCTTTGAACTTTTCACCGTGTCCCTGCTGCGACTCTGCTGAGCGCTGCTGGGGCAGGAGCACAGCCCTCCCCATGTGCTTGTCGTTACAGCCCACAGCTCATCCACAGGATTTTCAAATAAATAATTAGTCACTTGTGTAAACACCAACTTGTTCTGCACTTCCAAGTCTGTTTGCTGCAAGCTGCTTTATAAACACTGTCAAGTGCTTAAGCTGGGCTGTTGGGAGTGTTTACCAGAGCAGAGAGCTGTGTGGAGAGGGATGCCCCCGCAGCATCCCTCCGCACCACGCTCACATGCAGGGACCCGGACCCGGGCACGGCGCGGGGCTCCCCTGCGCAGGAGGGAAGCAGCATGAGAAGCATGTCGAGGAGGGACCCTCCTGACAGATGGCATGGCACGGTATGGCAATGCACGGCACAGCACAGCCAGAGGACCCCAGGGACGCTGACTGGTGTCAGCGGGGCAGCATCGATACAGCATGGTCCAAACTTTCCCCAAATTAGTGCTGAGTGCCAGCTGCGCTGGAGGGAGCACGGTGCTGCCACCCTGGTCTGGCTGCCCCCTGTTTTTAATTACGGCGGGTTTGCAGGTGAAGCGCGTTTGCAGGAAGTACACGCTGAACCCGCTCCGTGTCCTGCAGTGTTTACACAACACTCACAGTTTAGGCAAAGTCCCGTCGGTGTGGGGACAGCAGCAGGGATATTCTTAGGGAGCAAATACAGCCCCAGCGTGCCAAGAGCCAGCATGAGGCTTATGCCGCCGCCACATGCCCCATCTCTCAGGGCTTGTTCAGTGCAAGGGCAGGGAAGTGCCACGGGAAGTGCCTTGAGGCTGCGAGCACAAACCAGACACGGTTTTTCCTCTTTGTTTCCTTGCTGTCTAGCCCAAAGAGAGCCTGGTCCTCCGGCCACAGCTGCTCACTGGGCACAGAAATGCTACCGGCACCCTGGATGCTGAAAAGCCAGTGCCGAGGCGGGTCACTAGCACAATCCCCGTGTTTCAAAACCTCCCCACAAGCACACAGCGTCTGCTGCGTGCCCACCGGCAGAGGCTGCAGCAGAAGGGCCGGGCTTCCAGCTCTTCCCACCCTCACCTCAGGACACAAATTATGATTCTTTCTGCTATTGCAGCCATCAGTCAAGCTCAGGTTGCTGCAAACAATTTCCAGTCTAAACATTAGCAGGATTTATGCCATTATCCCATCGACAGCAAGAATTTGGGGTAACCTGAATTGCTCTGAATTCATTTATGGAGAGACCTGGCCCCTGCGTCTGAGATGACAGTAAGCCTTGTTTGCAATTCTATCAGGATAAATTGGTCCTTGGGAGCTCCAATACAAACCAGAAAATGTAAACCATCCAGATAATTTACCATTAGTCCTCCTACACACAAGGTGAGAAAGACCAACATTATATCCCTGGGATATTCGAGACCTAATCCACAATAACTAAATTGCTGATATATTGCCTCTTGCTGAATGTATCAGGCTATCCGTAATGTAAACGGGCTCTCCAAAGGTTTACTGAGTCTGGGAGAGAAGGACCAGATGCTTGTGCGAGGGCTGGAGGCAGGACAAAGTCCGATTACAGCAGCAGCAGTAATGAACCCCCGGGAATTGCCAGGTCGGCTGCCAACAGCCAGCTGGACATCAGCTACGAGTGCAGGGAAATTGGGGTTTCCAGGTCCCGGAGCTGGACAGAGAATTTGAATTTCACCTTCACAGTCTGTTCAGGGGGTGCAAATACGCAAGGAGAACAGGTTTCAGAAACGCCTTTGCCTGCAGGAAGAGTCGTGGTTTTTAAGGGTTCACCTGATTCTGTTTGGTCCCAGCGAAGTCCCAGCCCCAGGCTCGGGGACGGGGACGGCACCCAGAACAAATCGCCCCGAGCCCTCCCCGGCCCCGGGGCAGGCAGAGTCTGCCGCCGGAGAGGCTGTTATGGCAGCAGCAGGCTCCGCGCTGCCAGCAGATCCCCAATCTGCCTTTGTGTAAACTTTCAACAAGCCCATCAAGTAATGATAACGGCACCTGGATATCAGAGGCACTGGAAGGAGCAGGAGAAGGAAAAGGAAGAGGAGGAGGAAATGGAAGAGGGCTGCTAAGAAGAGCAGGGCCACGTGCGAGGATGGGGTCCATGAGGCATGTGGTGGTCCTCGCTCTCGGCACCACGAGCTGCTGCCCAATGTCTGAGCAGGGCTGCAGGGGGACAACTCCCAGCAGGTACTGGAGGGGAGATAAAGGAGACTATGCAGGGACGGGAGGAAATGTATTCCTACAGACCGGCACCTGGACCAGCCGTCCCATCCCAGGGTGGCACAGCTCCCTGGCACCCACTAAAGCCTCTGGGCCAGTGTCAAGCAAAAGTTAAAGTGTCAGTCTGTAGTTTCTTCTCTCCAGGGTTACAAACCCTGTAGGAAAGTCTCCATGGGCTGCCTGGCTCAGACTCTACAGTATTCAGTACCTCAAGTCAGAATCCAGAAAATTTTTAAATAGCAAACGCAACAGATGGGATATAGCCAGCAGGAGAGGAGGCATCTTTCAAACAAGCAGAAGCCCACACACGCATTTATCTCGCTGCATGCCTTGCCCTCCCTTGGCAAAAGTCTCCGGCAGGCAAAGCTTCCCCAAGACATCTAAAGCTCGCAGCCCCAGGTGTGGCTGTGCGCTCCCCAGCCCCGCGAGGGAGCAGAGCCAGCGGGCTCCGACGCACACATCTTCCCTCGCTCCCTCGGCGCTTGCCAGGAGATGCGGGTGTCAGGAACCAGCCCCGGGGAGGCGAGTGCCGGCAGGAGTGCAGAGCGGGAGCCCCATCCAGGCACGGACAGAGACTATCACCAGAGCTGACCTTGGTGGGCAGCTCTTTGGGAAAGTCCCCGGCTGTCTTTCCGAGAGGTGTTTCCCTGTTGGCAAGGCAGAGCGAGCACCAGCGCTGCACGGGCAGCACTGTGACACCCTCCATGGAAGGGTCCCACATGCGCACGGCTCGGTCATCACGACTGCCACAGGGTGTCTCACGCGCCTCCAGCCAGCAAACATCTCTGCACA